TGAGTTTCTTACTGGCGATAATAAGTTTGGAACGATTGCTGTTTGTATCATTGCGCAAGGTGTACTGCGCCCGTTCCTGCTTCTTTTACCCGATGACATTCTTGGGACGATCGTCTTAGGAGTGGGGCAAGGGAGTGCATGTATCAAGAAAGAAACTGCACTAAATTCATTATGTCAAATTATATCCAATTTGAATTATTTTTAATCATTTCTATAAGTCGTCACTGCCCTTCACTCAATACATCGTCAATTAAATCGAAACGCAATGCAGTTAAACAATTTAACTCAAATGTGTCAAATTCAACTCAAATTTAATTTCTAATAGTACCAGTTTACATTAATGTAAACTTGTTTATACTTTTAAACTAACCGTAGAAATAGATTGATTTTCATTTTGGTACACATAAAAGTAAAAAATAACAAAATGTTGTTTTTAACTTTATATATTTTGTTATTTTTAACTTAAGGGATTGGGTTACCAATTGCTCTTTTGAAATCTAGCGGTGTACGTTGCCGTATTCTCGTGCCTTATTTGTGCAGTATCCAATTAAGGCAACGAACTATAGCCCAAGATTTTTAGGGACGACAGAATTTGTTCTTAGTATTGCTACTTAGGCTTGATTACATCAATGTTACTTTGACTTTAAGCGAAGCTTAAAAATCTTTCTTTTTTTAAAATCAAGAGAGAGACAGAGAGGGAGAGTTTTGAACCTTGCAGTTTGAAGTTAAAGTAACATTGGTGCAATCGAGCCAATCGTTTAATAAATGGTTGCACAACTGAAAGCGGATGCATTCAAATTTTATTCATAGATGATTTATCTCAACAATTGATTTCTTTATTTATAATTAAATACTATATGTATATCGAAACGTTAATGTCGTCTTTCGATCATGTTTTTGTATCGCAAGCGCTAATTGTACAGCAGAACATAGTTTTTCTACTATAAAGAAATTTAAGTTTTCTACGTTCAACTACGTGATAAGAAAGATTAAATAAGATTTCCATTCTTTGAATCAAATCTAATGTTACTATAAATTTAAATTACCACAATATTATCGATCAATTTTCTAAAATGCAAAAAAAGCATTTTAATGTTTCATATCTTCTGCCTATATTCTTTAATTCTTTTTTATTTTTTTTACTTAAATCAAAATAAATATAGGATTTTTTAGAACAAAATCTCGAGAAAATAAATTTTCAAAATTAGTTTAATATAGATAACTCCTGAAAAGAAGTTACCTAGATGAATCACATATAAAAAGACACTTGAAATGTTTCAGCCTACATCACAGACGCAAAACAGATAAATCCTACACTTATACCTTCTTTTTCGCCAATATTATTAATGTACTGATTTTGCTTTATAAAATTTGTTAATGCAAGAACACACACACAAGAGGCGATGTATCCCGGCGCCATCTGATCCCGACCGATTTTACCTACCACTCGTCCACTCGAAGACTCAACCGGTCCCCGTAATGAGCGATCATTCCTCAATACATATCATTGCATTAGCCTTCAGGACAGTCGTGCACACGCACCATGGTTCGTGGAAATCGTGTGAGCCGTGATATAGGAGCGAAAAAATGAAAGAGAACAACCATTCGCATTCTCTCGTCGAATACTGGCACGCGGTTTCTCTCTTCTTCTCGCATTCCACGCGCCGCAGACAAAACCGCGTCTATCGTAATTTCCGCAAAAAGATCATCCATAGCGATTGCTTTGTAACGACAGACGCGTCAAGAAGATTTAAATGCAATCTGCCTGCTATGTGTGATAGCCTGCTATGGGTATAGTCAATATCATGCAGCACGCGATCGATTTTGACACGAGCAAGTAGCTCACGCTTGACGGTGGTCAGACGGATAAAGAAAAAGGAAAAGGAAAATGAGAAGAGGAACGAACGTGAGAGAATTCACGGAAGAGAGATAGGAAGGAGAGAACGTACGCGGGTGGACAGGCGAAAACAGTGGGATGCAAGAGGAAAGGTCAAGCAATGTGTAGAGATAAGATGAGATAAAGTTGGCTGTAAGGGCATAAAGTCGGTACGAGAAAAGAGAAACAGAAGGGGAAAGGTGTTTTATTACAGCGGAGATACGACTCCCGGAGGATAACGACGTTACGGTGACCACGGAAATCGCGGCGGTTATATACTTCTAGAAAACAGATGTAGCTAACATAAAAGCGTATGACTAATTTACAATATATCTCGCCCGACATCGCTGTAAAATTAAGCGTTGCCAAAAGGTGATTTTAAAAATTGAACCATAAAAAGTAGAAATATCCTCTCGTACGAATCGCATTAAATTCAAGACTTTCAAAATAAAATGTATAAAAGCGCGTCTTTACATACAAAAAATATTTAAAAAATGCTTTCACGCACATCGCATTAAGTCCTAAAAAACTATCCAAAAATAAATTAAAAATAATGCACAGAAATGATAAAAATTATTAAAAATTTTATCAGATAGAACATAATCAATTGTATATATAATCTATAGCAAATTAGTATATCAGAAAATGAAAAATATCCTATGTTGTACTCTTTTTCTATATACAGTTACTTTTAAGATATTTTCAAATTATAAAATACGAAATAGAATTGTTATATTTTTTTATTGTTATTTAAAATATACTTACGTTTCAAATACAAATCTTACGAAAACAGTATACATGTATTTGAAATAAAATAATAGAAAAAAATTTTAGCGTATTTATTTGCTAAACTTATCTTGAAAAAATGCAGCATTAAAGTTTAAAATAGAAAACGTATTAAAGTATCGAGATACACAAATTAAAAAATTCATGACAATTTATTTTAAAATATACATCTGATAATTCAATATAAATAAATATTGTAAAACGATAATATTTATCCATTAGTCGAATATCGATTTATCAAAACGAGAAATATCACAAAAACTAATTAGTGCTGCGTAATGAGCATAGAGGAGACTAATGGTATACAGAAGCGACAAAACGGAGGTGCAAAACGACAAGGAAAAAGAACGAAGAAGACATGAAAAGAGAGGAGCACGTGAAACGCGACGCGATTCACAAGGCTGCGACAAGGTAAACTCAACTAACGTTGTCAGGGTGGACAAGGAGCACAACCGACAACCGACCGACCGACCAACCAACCAACCAACCAACCAACCAACCAACCAACCAACCAAAGAGTGGGATAAAGCTAAGCTAAGAGGCAAGTCAAAGCAAGTCGAGAAGAGCTAGGTCGAGGCGAGGCAAGGTAAAGTCGAGTAGGGACGGAGTATAGCAAGGCGCATTGGTGAGGCATGCTAAGGCAACGGGTCCAAAGTCGCCGTCGTACCTCGGTACGAGGCCCCGGTGGCGCGTTAACCTTCCGCTCGAACGCAGTACGCTTTCGACTCTCGCGCAGGCCAGGTTGCATCAATCCTGCCGGTCGATCCGCCGACCACGTGCAACCAGCCAACAGGCGGCTGCGAGAGAAAAGCCACGTGCACGTGTCCCCCTCATGCACCAGCGATGATATCGCCCGCATGAAAAAGAAAAAAAAAAGAGGGACAGACAATAAGAAAGAACCTTTCTAAAGGGAAAGAGTCCTCCGGAAATTACGTTTCGTGTAATGTGTCATGTGTCAACGCATTTTCGATTAATTGCTTCTCAATGATAACCCAAAAAAAAGCCAACAAAATATAAGTGCGAATCAAGATAATCGTAAAGATCAACTTTCTCGCAATCTATATATATCTCCCATGTGTTTCGCGGTCACGAGAAATTTAATTTCCAAGTGTACACGAGAAGATAATCCGAGGGCAGTCACGGTGCTCGACTGGGAAGAGCACGGGATTAAATCGGACGTCGTAAATTAATTCGCGAGAGATTCCGATCGCGCTCTTGGGTTTGGTTTGCGAACAGTTTTACACCAGGGGTATCACACCGTGACGTCGCCGGCTGGCGGCAAATTTAATTTCCAGACGCGTTTCTCACGCCTGCGAAATCAGTCCAACTGCGCGCGGTATGTGACGATTAAAAAGAGACGCGCCATCATTCTCAGCGTTCCACATTCGGTGACCGTGCTCGAAATCGACAGGTCGAGGCGGAAATTAATTCAAAATGGTCACGCCCGTGTGCGACGTGTCACGCGCGTGAGCCCCACGCTTTTTTTTTTTACCACGGCAGGGTGCGATATAGCCTTCGGGCTCTTCAAAAATTTTCGCGCTTCAATGAATCGTAAAATAAAAGAACCCGGAATCGGCCAGAAAAAGCCTTCGATACGGAGATCGATCGATCGCAACGGGTTGGAATAATTGAATTATCGAAAGCCCGGAGGCAGGAAGACGCGAATCCTTCAGGACGACCATACATGGTCGTCGTCTGCTTACAAAGCCGAGGAAGAAGCGGCAGCATGTCGTGATCGCGTGGGAGGTCGAAGCATTGCGCACGGCGCTTTTTACGCGCGAAACGAAGCGGAGAAATAGATACGTACGTTGATTCCGGAACCCACACACGCGGATAGAGCGACTCTGTTTAAACCGCGTCTTTTATTCTATTCTATTAAAAAGACGTACTGATTTGGTTACAAACGAATCTTTCAAGAACTATATATGATTAGCAGCAATTTCTTCAATACATCGTGAAAACGCGTGCCGAGCCGAAGGCGGCCACGATCGATCCGGATGAGATCACCCGAGAGATGAAGGGAACCTGATTCAGAGCAAGTTCGTGCCGCCAAGTAAGCAGCAACTCGAAATAATCACCTGCAACTAGTTCGTTAGCAAACCGTAACTAAATTTCTATGCAAATTACATCGCCGCGAGTAAATGAAATCAAGAAATTGGAAAACAAAACAGAAAGTAATATATCGCCGGGAAAAAGGGAAGAATAAAATGAGATCATGCGAGCGAACTGCGAATTTATGAACCACTTGAAAAGGACTATGTCCGTAATATCGCGTGATGAAAGAATCGTATGCGGAATGAGGTGAAAACTGCGTAAAATGCATAGCGTTGACCTGTCGTGTCAACGTCCGAGATGCATCCGTGGCTGAGGCGCATTATCGGCACGCTCCGCTTGCAGTGGAATCTCGCGAAATAAGAATCGTCCGCGAAGACATGTCGCCGCCGCCGTAGCGCTCGTGACGAACGCGCGCGACGAATGAAGATTTTCGCGGACAAAATAATAATAATAAAGGAAACGAGCAGCATGCCGGTCACGGGAACGAGGAGATTATGCAGAATGGGACTCGTCGCGGTCTTGGTCACCGCGTTGTGCATCCTGACTCTGCTGGACTCGCCGCCAGCACGACTCCCGGATCCACCGACCGATCCTCCTCCCACGCCTGGTAAGCAATTTTCCTCCTCCGGCGCAACTGCTGCGACCCTTGCCCTTTTGTTATCGGCGAACGGTTCACCGCGGCACAACCTGAAAGTGCTAACACTATACGCATTGGCATCTAGCGGGATTTTTGCTGCCATGCGAATTGATCGTGACTATATATAGATAAAATCATGCGACAAATTGGTTATTTTCATCCTATTTCATGTAACGTGATGTCTCGCGTTTATTGAAATTTGAGACCGTATTATATACTTGTCCTTCCAAGTATCTCCTTGAAAAACTGGTAAAATTGATATGTGTACTCTATTATAGAAAATATTCTTTTTAAGAACTCAAACAGTACAAAAAAGCGAAATAGAATTCTTTTTGAATCCATAAATTATGAAATATATTTTTTCCCCATTTTTCATTTCTGTTCTAAAAAATCATTAAGGGTTCCAAAATATTTCATTTTTGGACTAATTCTGAACTCTTCTTTAGATACATAAGAAAATCCTTTGTGGTTTGTAAGAATTCGAGTAAAATTTCAATAAATATATATACGTGCAATTCTTAATTTCCAGTTCAAACATCGTCAGTCTTGAAACAGTCTCAATTTAAAGATGGAATATTATAAATGTAATGCGTAATATTATAAATGAAATTAATAAGCAATTTAATAATACTGATGCTAATGAGCATTATTAAAGAACTGTAAAAAATTTATTGCGAAAAATATCATCTCAGGCAAGATTTGAAGGTAGAATTTTCTCATTACATGTAGAGGCGTCTTACTAATTCAACCACCGAGACATAAAGTGATATTATCCCGACTGAGAAATACTTTTTGCGATACATTTTTTACAGTGTTTTAAAGATGCTCATTAGCATCACCAGTATTTTATTAAATTATTTGTCAATTTACTTTATATTATGTATTTCAGCTTCAGTTTGAGACTATTTTAAGATAAATCGTCGGAATTTGTGCAATTTGCTTGAACTAGAAATTGTAAAATTCGCATAAAAATATAGTTAAATACTAATTGTGAGTCTCATTTTGATCAAACCCAATATGATCTTCGCTCATTTATAAATATTTCTCAGTTGATTTTCATTTTTAAAATTAATATTTATTATATTAAAATCACGTGGCGTCGAGTGGTTCACCGCTCTGTGCGATTGACTCGCGATTTGTAGACCCGAGTTCAATCCCACGTGCGCCCAAACGCGATTTTTCGCGTTTAATGAGCCAAAAAAATGGCTCCATCTGGTGATCAAAAGATCTATGATCATCAGCGCCGTTCGGATTCGGCGTTAAACTGTAGGTCCTATACATCAGTATACATCAGTAGTATACATATCAGTAGATATTTGTCTCTAATATCTGACTGAGGTAGGATTCTGTGGACCAATCACCCACAAATCCGAAAAACAATTTGATTCGAGAAACGAATATAGGCCTCGGACAAAAGAGGTCTATAGACGTCCTATGCTCCACATAAGGAGATAAAAGGAGTCGTTAATAATATTAAAATCACAGAGTAAATACAATATAATTTAGGTAATTTTTACAATTTAAAAAATATGTTTCATTTTGCATCTCATATTTTAAAACTTATTCTCAAATTTTTTTACTCCTTTTTACCTTCTCTAAAATTTTCACGATACTCTTGAAAACCTTGTGCAGCAATATGCAGCACTATATTGGTGCAAAAACCCTGCATTAGAACATAATTGAAAAATCTTATAATGTTGCGCTTTTTATTCTAATTTCTACTATGGTTTTTATTTACGAGAAATACAATTTCGTCGCGTTCATCTGGCAACGGTGCTACGTATCGAGCGATTCTTTTCAAACCCATTACGAACAAAAAAACTTCTCTTTCAGAGTAACTTCAATTTAACTCCATAAGAAGTAAAAGGATTTTATGAAATCTTTTTTAAATTGCCGGAAAGAAATTCTTTATGAATTCATAAAGCTACTATTAAAAAACCTTTGAGAAATTTTTTGTTACCTAATGTTACTAAAAACAAGTAACTCATTGCAACTTGGAAACAATTTGTCTTCACAAATGAACTCATTTCGAAAAAACGTTTTAGGTTTCTTTTAATTATTAAGGCAACAATTTGTTTCCGCAAGTATTGTGTCCATAAAATCAACAATGTTACATATTTTAAATATATATAAAGATTAAAAATGCACTTTTTATGGTCACTCTAAATTTTTAGGAGTGAAATTTCACTCCCAAAGGATGATAGTTGCGCCGGTCTAGAAGTGAAATTTTCATTTTTAAAGAGTGAAGAATCACCCTTAAAGAGTAAAGAACCATTCCAACCGAAAGTCAGTCTCTACGGAGAGTGAATAATTTCATTCTTTGAAAGAAAAGACTGAATATAAATGTTCATTTTAGCTCCCCTAGAGACTCTCAAGTAAGAGATGCGCAAACTGAGAAGCTGCGACGGGATTGATTATTGGCGTCAATGCAAGAATATGGCGGAGCCAATATTGTACCAAGGGCACAATCGTATTTTATTTCTACATAAAATAAAGACTTAATGTATGTTTGTATATATTTACACATATGGAGGCCGTCATATTCTTGCAAACGCTCGGAATTTGCGTACCTCTCTAAGCACCCTTACATCCAGTCTTCTCGAAATTAGGCGATGTGCTTTTGTACAAAACAAACGAATTTAACCGAAAAAGCGTCATTCTGCTTCGCAAAGCGGGATTAACCATTAAACGAAATTTTACGTTAACAAAACAAGACACTTAACTTTAAAAAGTGATTTTATACTGGCATTTGTTCGTAGTAAAATATGTGTGACTCACAGTATTGTAGCCGTAATTTGTTTCAATGTCAGTCAAATATTACTATAGTTTAATACTGGCTGCGGTTTGCAAAGTGTTAAGTTCCTTGACACGGTATGAAAGAAGATTCGCACGCAATAAACTTGTTCGAAATACCCGCAAGCGTTTGTTGCTCAGTACACGCTATTTCCTAGTCACGTGAAGTTTCTCAGCATTGAAATGTTATCCGGCCGAACGAATAATGAAGAGCTGCTATCTGCTTTTTTAAACGCACGTTCATCGCGAGTAATTGCACGGGTGCTACGCTTTCTAATACTAACAACGAATATGACTACATAAATGGCTCCCTTCGAGGGCCGATACAGATCAACCTGCGCTTACGCACCGCAAAGATTTAACAAGACCCTGCACGCAATATGCGTACACGCACCCCCTCCCCCACGAGAGAAGCTGAAAAGATACGAAGATAACGCACCGAGTGCAAAAGGAACGCGCGATACGAAGTTATAAATAAACCCCGAAGCTTTGGCATAAAGCTTGCCAAGGACGTAAATCTCGGCGCTGTTCTTTGGTAGTAGCGACTTCATTAGTCGACGTAATTTATGACGTGATTCATCGAGTGACCGCCCGTCGGCTCGTTCGCTTTCGCGTAATTCACCTTCGCTTTTACCATATAAATATTTCGCAGGAATTATGACAGTCGATCATACGGCTGAGACCAAGCTTACACACTACACACCGCAGGTCGACAAACCTTCAGGATTTGTCTTATACGAAGATCGTCTTTCATGGATAAAAATTAAATAGCCACACACGCGCACACATATTTAACACTACGTGCATATGAAATATGAATATAAATTCAGACTATTTTTACACGACGTGGAAATAAGTAGATTCAGTTAATTACACGGGTAATAACGATTCGAAGGTAATAATTACGATTCTTATCCAGATGTATCCGTGTTTTGAGGTCACGCACTTCAATTAGTTAAAGATAAGTGTTTCTCTTGTCGAGAGTAATTTCTAACTAATTAGTGACGGGCCTTAAAAATCAACACGATTTATTTGCTGATTTATCTCTGTAGCCGGCTGTAGATTCACTCTCCGCCCTGACAGTGCGATTTCCATGAGAACGCTGGTGTGCATTAGCGTATTCCTAGCGTGGTACGAATGCCTCTCTCGTGGGGCCGCGTTTACCTTCTCGTAAACCTCACGGAGCGTGGCCGCGACGGACGGTCGAGGGGAGAGGAGCGAGTAAAGGGCACGGAGTCACGAAGAATACTCGCGGCACGCAAACACGTAATACCCACCGTCGGCCCTGGTTGGGTCAAACGCCGACTTTTAACGACACACCATGACGGGACCATCATCCACCCCGTTGCCCGCGGACTCCATGGATCAGTAGGCTCGGCCAGTCTCGTTACCTACGCTCTCGACGTTGAGATCGTCCGGGAAATAGTCCCAGGCGTCCCGTCAATAACGCTCGCAATCCATATACGTTGAAGACGAGTAATTGCAAACGAGACGAGTCACGAAACGTATATAGTGCCATAAATTTACCCGCAGACGCCAACACGGCGCGTGACGTCTTATTTTTTTTCCTCTCTTTTTCTTCGTCTGGCCGCCGCCGTCGCCGCCGCCGCCGTCACGGATCCCAGTCTCGCAGAAATAATTATAAACAAGACGTAACGAGAGCCTTTAAAGCTATCATCGGCATAGATTTATTATCACTCTCAAAGAGCAAGGCGCAGTTGGACGTACATCTGCGCGAACCCTGTCGTATTCCATAAATGCATTTATTATAAATGCATTAATGTGTGAAAAAAAAGAATGGATATCTCCTATACGGGTACACTTCAGCTCGTGATTACACGGGAAACGAGTTTCTCCGCGGAATACGGGATATGCGGGGCATTCAACATTAGGGAGCCTAATTAGTGGTCACGTCGATTGAAATTCCGCCCAACTAATTTTCTCTCTCTCTCTCTCTCTGCCTGCCTTTCTCTCTTTGAATATTACTAGAGCGTCGCGTTAGAATATATGGAAATTGCAATTATGAGAACTATCGTGCGGCACTGATAAGCCAGACAGCGATACTATACCTAAAGCGAATGTTTCCTGATGCAAGCATAGCAGACTAAATGAACGTGAATGTATTTATAATACGGTGCGTTCGTTTCTAACACGTAGACGCGTCACTTCCGTCCGGTTGTGTATAGAGTCAATGTCTTTGCGTTGATTCATGATCCTCGCGACAGATAAGAGACAGAGAGAATCGATCGCGCGGCTTCGACAATAAGTTGACGTTTAGTAAAACGAACACAGCCGAGACGTCACACTCGCAGAAATTATGAGATGATATGCTAGTAGGGTGGAATGCGAGCGATACTATCGATGTAATAACGTAAAAGTTTTGATAAGCGACAGACAGTATGCAGTTTGTTATATATATATATATATATACAACGTGTATTGACGGCAGCGCAGGCACTTGCTATTACAAGAAAACACAGTCAACCGAAACTAGTTAACTAGTTAACTCGGATGAAACTTTGAGTATAGAGTAACTTGAACTACATGAATATGCATTATTCGCCTTTGAATGTGGATAATATAGAAATACATGAAGAGTACGTCATGCCTATAAACTTGTAAATACTAAATCGAGCAGAATTTAACTTATTAAACAAATAAATTATAACGCTGTGAGCTATAATGTACTAAAATCAACGTATACTATTTATATTAAAATTTAAGTACTATTCAAAACAAGAAAATATTCACAATCGATTTAATAAGATCAATATTGCCCATCCTAACATAATTTTAATAACAAAAAAATACAATTTTAGAGTATTTAATGTTTCATCGAAAGAAATAAAGAGAACCAATTAATTTAGTCAAATGAACAACTTTTTCTCAATGTTCATATTTAAAAATACAAAAAATTAGGAAGTTTTTTTTATTAATGATAAAAAAAATGTTTATAAATATAATCGTTTAATAACGCGTTCTGATTTTATTTTTGCAATCCCATTTGTTTCTGATTTTTAGCTTTGCAGTTTAAATTTATTGCAAACTTTTATTTAAAACAGTTTTCTTTATTAAAATATTATTATACTATTATGTGCTAAAAATTGTCTTTTATAATTACTTAATATTACACTTTCTAAGAGCGACGGACACAGAGAAAGCTCACACAAAATTTTATCCATATTTATGGATTCTGTAGAAGCGTGGGGAAAAATGCTATTAGCGCTCTTTGTGTCATTCTAGCCTTGTTTTCCGCCTAATGAATGATAAAGAATGACACAAATAAGAAGGCTAATAGGGTCTTCTTGAATGCTTCCTATGTTGGCAACGTTCCTTTGTTAGCTATAAGAAGCTTAACAGAGTTATTGATTTTATAAAAATATTTGAAAACAGTAATCTATTTTCCTACAAATATAACACATTTAAAAATACATATTTCGTCATAAAAAAAGAATTATCAAATAATATATCATATAATTCAACAATCCACTAATTCAATTTTCTTATTTTTCTACTTCAATATAACAACCTATAAGTTGCTCGACAATGCATTTGCTGAATACGAGTACTGTATATTTTTTATAAGGCATTATTTGGAAATGAAAATCGGAAGTTGTAATTACATTTTCAAAAATGAAAACGCAACACAAAGATTGTGCCGACTCTGTGATATATCTAGTGTGCGCGCATTTTCTGATCAAAACCTTGAATTAGCATTATTCACAGAGCCTAATTAACTTCTTCGAAGGCTTTCTCCATTCGTTTCAATCAAACAACTTAACGTCATTCCTTGCGCGCATGTTCTAGGGGGTGAACCGCCGGGCACAAGAAGCATCGTCGCTTATTCGTGGGCCCGAAGATTGGCACTCGATTACAGGCCCACCAAGCAGTGCGACGGTAATGGTACGCGCGGAATGGCGTTAAACGCATACAAGCTGCCCGGCACGAAATGGCTTGAGACAATCCCGGGACAGCTCTTCCTGTACAGCGCCCACTTGGACCTCAGAATCGCCGGTTACCCGAGCATCAGAGTGATTGGCGTTAAACGAGGAGCCCTGCCGTCCTCCGCACTCTTCTGCACTATATGGTGAGCCATTTTTCATGTCGCGATGCAGCCCGTTACTCGTCTATCTCTGACGAGCTAAGTATCAAGGAGAAGAGAATCACTAAAGGCTGCTTATAAACGAGTGATGTCGTCTATTTGCCTCTGCATTGAAAAATCGATCGAAATTAGTATCAACCTTCTGTACGGAAATTCAATGAGATAATAATTAAATTTGTTATTTATGTAAATTATTAATAAAATTATAAATACTTCCTCTATTTTTTTCTATGATTTAGTCAAAATGACAAGTTGTAAAAATTTGACAATGTGCTTTCAATTTCACTTTTATTTATGCCTTACTTAACAAAATGTAATTTTAAACTGTGTTTCAATATTTGAAAATAGCAGATGTCTAACTCGTGATGTTATCAATTAAAATATAAAATTTGTTTGCGTATTCGTTTGTTTCTTTCAGTTCGATGATCAAGAAAAATGCCAGAGTCTTGTTTCTTTTTAATACATTTACTTAAAATAAATGTATAATACAGGATATAAACACATAAATATTAAACTTTTTTGTTGAATAAAGTATATTAATTTATTTTATACTTATAATTTTAGTGAAATTAAATTTCATTGGTTGAATTGTACACAAGCTAGTTGTTTCAAGTAGCGTCAGGAGTGAATAATGCAAATATTAGCAACGGCGCGAAACGAGGCATATTCGCTTAAAATACACGGTTGAAAGACCGCGTTATAAATGTCTCTATAAATGCCTTCCACTATGCGTGCAGGTGTTTTCCGGTAGGATACTCAACATTAACCAACGTGTCTTTCGATCGGAAAAGATAGATTAAGCGTCTTGGTTTTATTACGTTACAGGTACTGGAAGAACGGGAGGATGTTATCGTTGAGCGTGGAGGCGCTCATCTCGACAATCTGGTTGGACGAATGGGGTGAGACGGCGGACAGTTATACCGGAATTCTCGTGAATTGTCAATTGCCGTTAGACGGCTCGATACGCCATGCATCTCGGGTTCATGTGGGTCCAAGTCCCTGCTTCAAGAATGCTAGTCATAGTTTAACAATTCGCTCGGAATTCGGTGACGAGACTTTTACCGATCAGAAGAGACGCCGACAGTTCACTTTGTGCATTAAAGGATTGGACTTCGACGAGGACATATCGCATAAACTAATAGCTTTCGTTGAGCTACACCGTATTCTAGGCGCGCAGTTCTTCTACTTCTACGTATTCAACGTGCATGAGAACGTACTCAAGGTGCTACGATTATACGAACGGTCGAATGTGGTGCGATGGTTCACGCTTGACCTGCCGGGTGATTTGCCGAATGAGAAGACGGCCCGAAGGCGATTCCTCAGTGAGGACATTTGGACAAAGAGGCGAATGGAGCTGATCCCATACAACCATTGCTTCTACGAAAATATGTATCGCTCGGAGTTCGTGGTGCCGATCGACATCGATGAGGCGATTGTGCCGACGCGCCGGAAGACCTGGCACGAATTGCTGCTGGACGAACGCGCAAAGCTCGGCAAAAGCTTCAAAGACTTCGCCTCGTATTCTGTACGAAACGCCTATTTCTTTCCCGAGCTGCAAAATAAGAGTCAAACCGATCGGTTGACCGGACTGGATGAGAAGCTCCGTCGCTCGGCCGAGTATACAGACTATCTGGATACCATGAGAACGGCCAGTATTTCGCCCGAGGGCGACTCGGTGAAAAGTTTCGTCTCTACGAAGCGCGCGTTAACGGTGCACAATCACTATGCTCTAACCACGCTGAACCCGTCCACTAGACGGGCTCATCATCTGGACTCAAACGACGTGCTCAAGCATCATCACCGAGCTTGCGACAGCCGACATCTCGATTGCGATCTCTTAATGGAGGACGTTAGGATCGACGAATCCGCTTTACGCTACGCGGACGAGCTGAAAACGAGAATGAAGATCGCCTTGGCCGATCTCGACGCCCTGCCATAGACTATAGTGATGTTGTAAATAATAAAAATCCTTTTTGAAATCTCTCTCGTCTCTTATTATAATATCTATCAGGCCAATCCTTGCGATATCCTTCCAGATAATTTTAATGCCGCGCGCGTTTATTTTTAAATAATCAAAATATCAAAACATATTGAATACTAATCGTCAATGTTTGCTTTGTGTTAATGCAATATATAATAACAAAATAAATTAGAAGTAAACGCGCAAATAATTTTGTTTCTTTAAGTAGACCGATTAAATTTGTTCATTTTTATTAATTTAAATTTGCTCACTTTATGTTGATTAGCAACTGCTTTAGAAAAAAATTTAAAAGATATAATTTAATAATGTGAAAACAGAAAGAAAGACTTATCCTATTAATGTTACGGTACAAAAATAATCTAAATTCTTTCCCCCTCTACCATTCATATCGGCCCCTTTGAAATGGAACAGGTCACCTAGAAATGATAGCGGCCAGAACCAGTGATCCAAAACAAGAGTAACAATGACATTTTTCGAGCGTTGTACTTAAAATTATTACGGTCGAGTGAAATAATTGGAAACATGTAAAAAGATAAAAGCAAGCTTGACACTTTTCAGGCTTGACAAGTAAAAAATCATATTGCGGTCGAGCATGATAATTGGAAAACATGTAAAGTAACAAAAGCAAGCTTCATACTTGATGCTTGAAATTATATTACAGCTGGGGCACAATAATTGGAAAGCATTTAAAGTGACAAAGGCATGTATGATGAGCCTTCAAGATTGATGCTTAAGTTTGTAATAATCGGATGCAATAATTGGAAACCATCTAAAACGACAAAAGCGAAGATGATAGCTTTCGAGGCATAAGACTTGGAGCGCTTCGAATATTCAAACGACTTTAACAACTATAACTGCTTTTCGCGCTGCCGTGGCTTCAACCGTCTGACACGTTTATCAAATGAGACGAAACGAACGCGCTATTTACGCGGAGGAAAGAATAGAAAAGGTAAGAGTCTTTTGAGTTAACGAGTACGTATGAGGAGCGAACGACTTTATAAAGCACCGCATCCATCATGCTCGGTACGTGTGAACGACAGTTTCAATCTCGCTAAAGTGGCGGTTTGGTGGTCATCCATTAGCGTTCAAGATCTCGTTCTATACACGGGTCAAATGCCTCGCGCCTCACACGGCCCCAAGAGAATTTCTATCGTTATCGACTGATTAGATTCAGATCAAATCTCTCGATGCAGAACGGCGTTTACGCGCAATCGTCATCAAACATATTTTTCACAGATTGAATCGAAGAGGACGGAAATGAGTCTTGTGCGCGAGAGAGCATCCGAGACGGAAGATAAATTCCGGAAGCAAACAAAGGTACGATTCGTTTCAAATCGCGACCGCGATTCTCTTAGATAAGTTTTACGACTCGTATCGAGCGCAGTGCAAGTGCCCGATCAAGGTCGTAACTAGATTTAATAGATCATAAGAAAGCCATCGTATCCGCATTCTCTGAAACTTGTTACAAGACACGAAGATAAAAGCGGAATGCCATTTCCGTTCAAGAGAGAAGGAGATAAGTCAGTTCGCGGAATGCTAAAATTATTCGCAGACATTCACGGCGTGCCAGGCTCTTGGACGCGTCGCTTCGCCGATTCTTCAAATGTCACTGGGACTTCAAAATGCAATAACCGAACTCGCAAACTTCCAAAGAGACGCGATGGTTATAAGACGGAGAAAAGTTTTCCCTCGTACTCTTCAAGTATATCGATCAGCCAGGCTATCGGCATTTAGGGCGACAGGTTGCAAGCGCCGAGAAACATACGCATCTAGATCGTTCTAGTTACATATACAATAATGTCTCGTACAAGCGAGACAGATCGACCTGATAACGTATCGCTAAAATAGGGAGAAACCCGATAGCCGCTATACTCGCAAACTTGCTATTACACCATGAAAATTCTGTTCCTGATTTTTCGCCTAGTTCAAGATTAGCCTCGTCACGCCGATCGTCGATTTGAATAAATTTATCTAATATACCCACTCTTTTATCGATCACGATTTTTATACAGCCATATTGTTAGCCTAATAAGACTTCAAGGCAGTCCTACATTTAGTCTCTAAAATTTTCGCATTTTTAATTCATACAGTTTTTACCAAAAAATCATGTAACGTCTTTAATAAGTAATGATATGAACTCTTCTATATTCGGAAAAAAAGATACTGAATAAAAATATATGTTACAACTATATATTTGCTATCTAATTGTGCAAGTAACTACTTTATATTCATGGTCAGATCTAATTGCAATGTTATACATACTTTATATACGATTGGTACAATATGTTGCGAAAGCGAAACGTTGGATATAAATGAATTAACATTCCCACGGCGTACGCAATTTCGGGAATGAAAATTTTAGCTGAAGAGCATCCAATCCATCATAAATCTCATTATATCCTTCAGCCCATGCACGTTAACACGCGTATCTCTTTACTGATTTATATCTGCGGCGTTTGAGTTACAACGTTTTTTTCCAAGCTGACAAAGTAATCTCGCTAAGTCACGCCTGAAGGGTTCCATTGAACGTCTCGCGCGCGAAGCGCGTTAATTCGACCGCAGAATATTTTCGCGCGGCACGACGGCGACGAGGAGCCGTGCTCCACTTAACAAAGTATCCACGAGAACGAGACGTCCGTCTGACAACACGTGATAAAATTCGCACCGGTGTCACGTTCGCCGCTCGCTCGAGCTAAGACCGATCCTGAATTAATGCGGTAATAAATCACGCGAACTTTAAGAGAGGCTGTACGCGCCTAAAGGAAGTGCATGCGCTCATCGTCTGACTAAATTTATCAACGTACCAGCATGCACCGAATGCCCGAATCCCTGTCTATCCCTCCGTATCGCGTCAGTGACGACAACGGAAACGACAACAGTGTCACGACGACGACGGGAGCTTTATCTTTCATTCCCGCAAACTTCCGCCTGGAATTCGTATATATCATCGGTAATAATGTCTCCGTCAGCCGTGTGCACCTGCTTTCTGACCGCGACATCCTTGCTTGAATAATAAGGTGCCAACTTGAGCTATTATTCCCGGGAAAATCCACACGAAGAACGGTTTTATTAAAGTATCTAAAAATTTAGCTTGATACGGATCTAAAAATAATTTTCAAATATGTGTATCTAATTAAATTTTTATGCTTTAAAATCGTTCTTTCCGTAGAAAAATCATAATATTAAACTCGCACAGTTGAGCAAACATGATCGCCGATGATGACATCGCCGCAAGTAATCTCCCGAGCGAACAAATTTTTACGATTCTCTATCGCTTTCCTCCTCTGAACAATTCAGGTCGCTTTTCTCCAGAGATCGATTCTTCTCCTGTGTGTCTGTTTCTGTCTCTGCACTTCACTACCCATTTTCCCCGTTGAAGAGAATTCATCATTCATCCCGTCACCGCCCCAAGTTGTATCTCATTGTTTAAACGGCGCTTCTCTTGAATTGTTGTGAACGACTGATCGCACGCGTCATAAAGGTAGGTCAGTTTCTGCACGATGAGGGGTAAATGGGAAGCATAATAGCATTACAGAGATGGCTCCAGAAACAAGCTTGAATTCTCCGAGACTACAGTTTTCCCGTCGTGAGACAAATTGGAGCGTTCAACGTCAAGAGAACGTGTAATGCTCTTCTTTGAGATAACGTATTTAAAACATTATGAAGTTGAAATTGTATGAAGAAGAGAATTTACAGATGATTTATGATATTATAAATGAGTAATTCTTTTAAAATTTATCAACAAATTTGTAACTGACTGTAATTATAAAAAATTATAAAAAATATTATAGTTAAATAATACTTTTATTATAATTAGTCTTTTATTTCTACTTTTTTCGACTATCTATTGCATTATTATTCACCTAAACATGTGTAAATACGTGTAGAAATGTGTGCAATATGTGAGTACAGTATGATGAGCTCGAATTCGTTTACTAAATCCAAATGCCGGTGCGGATTAGTCTTAACCCCGCAAGTTGTATATTTGTAGCAATGCTCTACGGATTATGTAATTAAAGACATCGTTTGAAATTTACGAAGCATACAAATGTTTCCATGCCACATTCACATGAAATGTTCCATATTTTTATTTTAAAAAACAACTCTTAATATCAAATTTAAAAAACGACAAAAACATTCGTAAGAACACCTATTTTATTTTATATATGTTTATTATACTTGATTCATTTATTCTGAAATTATTCAAACAGAAATTTGCGGATTTACATAATGTTCCTTCGTTACAATTTTATCCTGTGTACCTAAAAGACTAATCTTGAATTATTAACAGAGCTTGACACAAAATACAAATATTAAGAACTCAGCTTAATCGAGGCCTAAATCTGCAAGAAGTGCTCTGCTAAATTATGCGCGCGCCATAAACTTCGAGAGAATCAGGGGTATATGAGCACGCGACACGAGCGCTCATATCGTAGCACAAAAAAGCTGGAAAACATAGCTTTCGCGATTCGTCGGGTAGGTATCTGCAAGCATGCGCCTGCCATCCGCCAAAGTGAGAGGGAGAGAGAACATAGAGAGAGGGTTGATCGCGAGTAAGCAGCACGTGCGTAACAGTCATCCTGGCGCATTCGCCAGGACCGCTTGCATCTCGGAAGTTATCTTTCCATCACCGGACGTCACACAGATCATTACCCCGCGCAATAAACATTTGCAATCACATCATCAACACTCGTATCTGCATATCGCCCGTGAGAGAATTCTTAAAATTAACGATTATTTTCGTTATACTTTTCATCACGAATATTAAATCTTTCTTTAATTCGAGCACGTCTTAAAATAAACTTAAACATTATCCGCGGTGTTAAAAGGATTCCGAGGGAATTAACGTCTCGCATTTACTTTTTGATTTATTTTAAACGCACACTCTCCAGTGGAAATATATAGAGTGAACGTCGCAAAAACGTCCGGTGACACATATAAAATATGTACGATTACCA